TTTGCAGCACTGGTTCAAGGAGAAACCTTGGAGGACATTTATACCCACTGCAAACAGGTCATAGAAGAACATTCAGGACCTTATATCTGGATCCCCTCAAAGGAGAAAGTATAATAGCTCATTATGCTGGAAGGCAGTCTGGACTTTTAGGATCTAGTAATATGAAAACTGTTTGGCAACAAATAGTGTTTATAAATACATATTGTGAATAAGTTGGCTTTTTTTATTTGTTCATTTGATCTTGTGTTTGATTATTGTTTGTTTTTCACTTAACCTAAATGTTCCTGAATGTAAACCACAAAAATGTTATAAAGTTTTAGCTCACAATGTATATTTGCTTTTTTCTTATTTAAACAAAAAGGATAAAAACAAAATAGATTTGGGATATATAGCTGCATTAATACAAAGTGGAAGGTGGCATGTATGGTGCAGATATCTTTGCTTTGTCAGCAATGGAGAGAAACCCGGTGACTGGACATCCTTACTGTCACTGCACACTGCAACTAGTAAATACTGCTGAACACTGCTTTGCTTTGTGTTTATTTATAGTATCATTTCTACCTTAAATGACTACCTTTACTCTTTTGACATGACACTAAACATTTGTGAGAAAACTATTTTGTTGTTTCTTGTTGTCGGCGGGAACATTTATCCTGCTGTGCCGATGCTGAATCAAGAAAGACAGCTGTTCAGACTTCAGAAAGCTAACACTTTATTTTCCTAATAAAATCGCTTCCAAAAGCAGAGATTTATTTGCTGTAAATTCAACTGGGATTCAAAAGTCCTTTATAGAACATATTTAATTTAAGAGATTAGTGTAATGTGATCTATGGAGCTTGGAAAGAAAAGCAACTGGACTTCTTTAGGTTTCGTGAAGACATTTCACTTCTCATCCAAAAAGCTTTTTCACTCCCAAACCAAACAGTGGAGTCTCGGGTATTTAAACCCTGGTGGGAGTTGTTCCTTAAGAGGGTCGCTATGGATCATATGTCTCATCAAATGAGCCGAGGTGTGAAAAACGGTGTTGTCATTATCAGCGAGGCGTCTGGTGAAACCATTGTGACACCTTGCCTCACGCTATCATGTGACCTTTTGAGATCAACTGACGCTAGATGTGAGTGGGCGTTAAGGTACCTGGGAAGGGATTTCAAAAATGGATTATAGGTAAGGCACCCGCTCACTGTGATGGTTTTTTAAGTATGGAATTGTGATTACTAAGAACAAATCTTTTGTAATCAATAGTAAGACACTACAGTGTAGTTGTAAAAGAAAAAGACCATAACCTGTTTTAATTTAAAAGTATAAAAGTATGTAGTTGAAAAAACAAAACTATCTAACAAATCAAATTCTGAACATAATGTGATGAAGAAAACAATGAACAATGAAAAGAGGACACCAAAGTAGATGGCTAGTCTTGTTCCAATGTGCTTTGTGCATAAAGTGTGCGATATACATATATATACATATACATATATACATAT